AAAAAAAAAAAAAAAAAAAAACTTAGCAGACTCACTCCTAGCTGAAATTTTATTCAGTTCATGCATGTTGTCAAAAGTCCACTTTCTTTTGGGCCCTGCCTCAGTTGGGACACCTCTGTCAGGAAGGTTTGTGATGGAAGTTTTACAAAGTCAACTAGTATTGATACCATATTAGGACAAAACATGCAGCCCACCATGTAACTCAACCAATAGACTTGGTCAACCTTGACTAGCTACACTCAATTGCAAACTAGGGATAACCTGACCCAACTCAGTCTGACTGCATTTAGCTGTACAGCCTGTACTTTCTAGCCACTAACATATCCTGTTTGCTAACTTGCTTCAAGGACTTTCTGCCCAGTAAGGAAAGACAGTACCCTAGATCAACACTACCCCATAAGAAACCTATATAAGCCAATCCCAAAGCCCACCATGAGCCTGCCAGTGTAATGAAGTTGTTTGCCTTCCTACTCCTTGGTGCAGAGCATCTTTCTATGTGGTTTGGTACCAGGTTCTGCAACATTCTTGGTTCCCTGACCAGGAAAACACTGTGCTGACTAATTGGGTCATTGGTGGAGGCCTGCTAGCCATAGTGGGGGCTCAGTCTCTGACTTGCACACAAGGAGGAGTACCCTCCAGTCCTTTCCTTGGAGTTTTCTTAGCAGTCCAGGATTAGGAGACCTCGAGCATAGCAAAGACCTCACCAGACCAACAGAAGGAGATGGAGTGTGAACATTTTTGGCCTTCAGACAAGGTGAGACTGTCCTGGGATGTCCCTCAGTCGGTCTGTTAATTGCTATCCTTGTGTGGATGTTAGGGAACCTGATCATTCCTCACCAGCATCAGTCAGAATAATCAGTTTTGTTTTCAGTTAGATTTCGCCCCAGGTAATGGGGGTGGAAAGTCTTAGCCTCTGTGTGTTTGCATGTGAATATGTGGACTGATTATGAATGGATGGTGTAAGCAATAGACCACTCCGTATGTGCTCCAAGGCAAAAACCCCCACAGGGTATCAGCTATGGAGCATTAATGGGCCCTAATCTGCAGTTCCTAGGACATATCTGACCGGGCACCCTTGGCAAGTTCTCTTCAGAGGCTTGAGAGGGATAATGGAGGATTAAGCAACACTTTTCCTTAGCCCAGATAGTTTGGACTTTGCTTAGAGGCAAGTGGCCAGGCAAGTGCCTGTTTTCTCTCTCACCCTTCAAGCATACAGCACACACATTGAAGAGAGCCACTATGGGTGTATGTCAGAATAAGCCCACTGCCCTGGGGGGCATGCTGAGAAACTTCAGAAAGGGTTTCTCAGAAGATTATGGAGTGAAGATGAAACCCCAATGACTCCATACTCCCTGTGAAGCAGATTGGCCACACCTATGTCCTGTCTAGCTGCCAAAGGAAACCCTAATTTTGAAATTATTCACCATGTTTGGAACAAAGTAACGGGCTCCAAGCCAAATGATCATCCTGACCAATTCCCTTACATTGACTCCTGGCTTAGGCTATGCCAAAAACCCCTGCCTTGGCTCTGTACCTGCACCTATCAAGAGATGGGAACCTGCCTAGTGGTCAAAGCTAGCTCACCCAGCTACAAATTTTCAACTAAAGGAGCCCCTAGAAAAAAGAATACTTATCTTGTCCTGTCCACTGACCCTGAAGGCGACCTTCCTTCACCATACGTGGTCAATTGAAAGCATCTGCCACATGAACCAATCCAGGTGCCAGTAG